ATCCCACGATTCATCAAAATCAAGAAATGAATCCATCAAAAAAAAAACTTTTTGATTGGATGAGAATGAATGAAGAAATACTAAGTTGTCCCATATCGAATCTCGAACTTTGGTTTTTCCCAGAATTTTTGATACTTTATACTTCGTATAAGATTAAACCATGGTACATACCAATCAAATTTCTCCTTTTAAATCTTAATGTAAATGAAAATGCCAGTGGAAATAAAAATAAAAAAACGACTGGAAAGAAAAAAAGAGATATCTTTATATCAATATTTTCAAATGAAAAAAAATATCTTGAATTAGAAAAACAAAATCAAGTAGAAAAAGAATGCGGAATCAAAACAGATTTTGAATCAACTCTCTCAAATCAAGAAAAAGATATTGAAGAAAATTATGCGGTATCAAAGATGAAAAAAAATAAAAAACAATCCAGGACCAACATGGAAGCGGAGTTTGATTTCTTACTAAAAAGGTATTTGCTTTTTCAATTGAGATGGGACGATTCTTTAAATAAAAAAATGATCGATAACATCAAAGTATATTGTTCCCTGCTTAGACCGATAAACCTAAGAGAAATTACTATAGCCTCTATTCAAAGGGGAGAAATAAATCTGGATCTTCTAATGATTCAGAAAAATTTCATTCTTACAGAATTGATTAAAAAGGGAATATTACTTATTGAACCAGTTCGTCTGTCTAGAAAAAATGAAGGACAATTTATTATGTATCAAACTATAGGTATTTCGTTGGTTCATAAAAGTAAACACACAATTAATCAAAGGTATCGAGAAAAGGGCCATGTTGATACGAAGAATTTTGATGAATTCATTTCAAAACATCAAAAGATGACTGAAAATCGAGACAAAAATCATTATGATTTGTTTGTTCCTGAAACTATTTTATCCCCTAGACATCGTAGAGAATTGAGAATTCTAATTTGTTTCAATTCTAGGAATAGAAATGGTATACCTAGCAATGCATTTTTTTGTAATGAAAATAAGGTAAAGAGTCCGGTTTTGAATAAAAGCAAAATAAATCAAAATAATATAATTAGATTAAAGTTCTTTCTTTGGCCTAATTATCGATTAGAAGATTTCGCTTGTATGAATCGCTATTGGTTTGATACCAATAATGGCAGTCGTTTCAGTATGGTAAGGATACATATGTATCCGCAATTTAAAAATGAACTTAAGCGTGTACTGAAAAAAAGTGAAATACGGATTGATTTTATTTCCCGTACTATATTGCATATATGAAGACAAATAGATGCACACCTATATTGTTTTCTATTCCATTATGATACACGATACTAATTTAATGACATATCAATATCTAGAAATAATGCAAAAATCTTCTTAGTTTATTTTTAAATTTTAGATATAATTTTTTATCTTTTGTGAGTGCAGACAACTATCTTTTTGTTTACCTATTCGAATACAATTTTCAAATTGGAAATTATTCACAAAATTAAGATTATTCACAAAATTAAGATTATTGTATTGTGTATGCCAAATAAAAAAAAAAAAATGAATAACATTATTATTATTGATCAATAAAAAAATCTAGCAAAGCAATAAGGGCCGGTGGGGGGGAAGATTTCATTTTATGATAAAAAAGTCATTCATCTCGGTTATTTCACACGAAGAAAAAGAAAAAAACAGGGGGTCTGTTACATTTCAAATACTAAGCCTCACTAATAGGATACGAAAACTTTCTTCACATTTGGAATTGCACAGAAAAGACTATTTATCTCAGAGAGGCCTCCGTAAAATTTTGGGAAAACGCCAAAGGATGCTGTCTTATTTGTCAAAGAACAATAGAATACGTTATAAAGAATTAATTAATCAGTTAGATATTCGGGAATCAAAAATGCGTTAATTTGAATTTGAGGAAGCGTTTTGAATTATTGAATTATTTGATTTATTAGATCTTGATTTTTTTTTATTTTAATGAACTTATTTTCGCTTTTCAGTAATTCATGAAAGAATCAATCGAGGAAAAAGAAAAACCTATGAATATACCAGCTCCAAGAAAAGACCTCATGATAGTAAATATGGGTCCCCACCACCCATCAATGCATGGTGTTCTTCGACTCATCGTTACTCTCGATGGTGAAGATGTTATTGACTGTGAACCAATATTAGGCTATTTACACCGAGGAATGGAAAAAATTGCGGAAAACCGAACAATTATACAATATCTGCCTTATGTAACGCGTTGGGATTATTTAGCTACTATGTTCACAGAAGCAATAACCATAAATGGACCGGAGTTGTTGGGAAATATCCAAGTGCCTAAAAGAGCCAGCTATATCAGAGCAATTATGTTGGAGTTGAGCCGTATAGCTTCTCATCTCGGCCTCTAAAGGCCCCGTTTGGCTGAAAGCCGTAGCTGTTGTTTTTCTTGAAACTGTTTTAGTCAAAAACTGTGCCGTTTCGGGAATCTGTGTTTTAGTACCTCTTAGGGTCGGATTTTGAAAATCTTTTCTTCATCAAATTTCTTCATCTCGTCGAAATATAAAATTGTCACTTTTGTGAAAAATCGAGATTCAGCTTCTAAGGGTCCCGTTTGGCTGAACCAGTGGCTGCCAGTTTTTTTTTCGAAACTGTGTTGGACAGCTTGTCCGTTTTTGCCAAATGGCTTCAAACTTGGTTTTAGAGTTAAAATTAGGTTTTGTCATAGTAACCGAAAATGTTCAAAACATCCAGGGCTATAAGTTCAAGCTTTAAAACATTAAAAACTCTCGCTCTATGGTCCTCATTTTCGCGGTCAAAGTCACCGGAAAATTTTTCCTCTAATCCGAAAATAAGCAACTTAGATTAAGCATAAACATACCACATCAAACTAAGCTCAAAACTCACAAAACCAACATAAAACTCACACACTCTTATTACAATCTTATCTCTTCAAGAACCACAAATTTACATCCATAAATCCAAGCTTAAAGTTGGCTAGAAATTAATGGAGGGGAGTTTAAGAACTTACCCTTGAAGAATTCTCTCTTTCTCTTGAAAAACCCTTGAACTCCTCTAGGATTGTTAATGGCTTGAAACTATAAGAGTATAAGGAAATTTGAGAAGAATATTTCTCTATTTCAAACTTTCCCAAAACATGAAAAAGAGAGGATTTAGAGTTTCTTTACCCTTAGAGGAATGCTTGACTAGTCTCCTCCTAGAATCCCTTAATCTCCTTCTTCTTCTTCTATGGTGTGCTAGGGGCTCAAGTTTTGGAGAGTGGGAGAAAATATTTGAGAGGAAATGGAGAGTGTGTGGCCGGATTTTTTGAGTGGGGAAAAAGCTAGGAGAAAAAAAATGAAGCTTATCCTATGTTGGTTCCTTTTATAGGCACTTGGAAATTATTTTTTTTAACACCAATTCCACTCCATCATTCAACCAAATTTTTGGTTCAAATCCCCCTTTCTTGGCCGGTTTTGGAAGGAGAAAAGAAGAAGCAACTTTGCCATTAATTCCCCTTCAACCACTAACATCACATCACCTTAACATAAAGTCCTCTAGCACACTCCACTAGCCAAAGGTTTGGCTCTATTTTTTCATGCATGGCCGGCCAAGTGGAGGAAGGGAGAGAAAAAAATCTCACCTACCCCATTGTACTCTTGTCCACTTTCTTAAGTTTCCCTTAGAAACTGATAAAAATTATACTGACTATAAGAGAGTAACTTAACTAACAGGAATTCGTTCCCATTTCTGACGGTTCCTTTTTCTACTGCTTATTTACAGTTAAATGTTAAATCCTTGACTGCTTTGGATATCACATTAAATTCTTATTCGCGTAATATCTTGAACTGTTTACAGTCTTGAAATTAATTCTAGACTGAACAAATTCTAAATTTAACTATCCTGCGTTAATTTTCAGAAATGACGTTGTTTCTGACGGTGTCAACTCCCGAGTTCACATTATACCCTTCTACTATGGGTATTTATCTTCTGACTTTAACCTAGCTGTCTGGCAATTAAGGATTTTCTCTTTTTTTAAAAATGTCAGTGCGTTTTTTTTTTTACGCTGCTAACATCATGCTGTGTTTGGAGATTCTTGAAATTAAGATTCTCAAACTATACTTGTACTGAAAATTATTCCGCCTTAAAGTACGGCAAGAATTTATCGATCGAATTTACTTGATCGAAAACATGAACTTAACATGAAATCTGCTACAGAATTTAGGAATACATCTATTGATTCCATAAATCCTTCAGTCACATAATATTTTCTAGGAAAATCCTTGGCTTAAATAAATAAATTGTATTATTTAAAGTCTGGAATTTTCTCAGTCATTACATCTAGCAAGAATTAATAGCTTTGCTTATCATGTGCTTTGAAATTAAGTAGAAGAAATTAATCGTTGTTACTTGTTATCACACACTTAGGTGAAATAACCTTCATAAGATAGAAATATAAATAAATTAGTACCATGCCTTCAATTTCACCCACCCGAACAGAAATATCAAGACCTATGTCTCTCGAACAGAAATTGTGGTGGGTTTTTTTTCACCCACCCGCGTATAAAACTTCCAAACTTATTTATTTATTTATTTGAGAAAATAGGCAGCTGTTGAAATGAGAATTTGTTTAATACCAATTATGTTTCTTTATGTTGGAACCATACTCCTAAAGTAGCTTTTCGACTTAAGGATGCCCAACAAAATATCAATATGTCTAGTAGACTAATATGTGCGTTGTGGCCTTATAAAAGCTCTCAGGCTCAAGGAAGTAGAGACCAAACAAAACAAGGGCATAACCACCAAAAGGGAAGAATACTCGTATGTTAAAAGGTTATTTGTTTCATGAATTCTCTTTGATCACTAATACCCACTTAAGTATCAACTATGAAAAACTATGGGAAACTCAACTAGTAGGATTTCAAAGTCAACGGATAACAGGTCCGAAATATGAAAAACTGTTTCACGTTAGTAAAGCACCTTAGAAATAGGAAATGCCAAAGTTCAATGGTAACAAGGACCCCATTATCTGATTGGTGAGTTTACTACATTTCAGAAAATAAACGGATCATGATAAAACAAACGCTTTTGGTACTAAGAACCAGAGAACAATAAAAATCCTTCTTTTTCCATCAACATTAGTCTGTACCTAAAAGAGTTACAACCCTTCAAAAGGCCACACTTATATATTAGTGACAGTCCAGTCTAGTTGCAGCACTTGGGCAAGAACATTCTTCTAAAACGATTATAAGAACTATAGATATTTATGGCTGTAAAGAAATGCAAGGAATTTCAAAATGTATTGCAAGAGAGAACAGGGGACAGACTTGCACTGCCAAAAGAAACACCGCTACAAGAGAACTGATATTCGCATAAACTTAACCCATCAGAGCTGCAGCAATGCCGGAACAGCCTTCAACGTGCGAGAAACGGCCAGCATTATTTGCTACAAGAAAGAGAACATCAGAGATTAACAACTTGTGAATTTCAAAATAAAGCCCTGCTTCTTCTACACTCTCATGAGGGAATACTATGGCCGAATCAGCATATCACTTTTCAATAACCACACAGATCAGAAACCTGGTACTAGGAACACAAATCAATAGCTAAGTACTAGCAACAGGGCAAAAGCCTAAACTAGATAAACTAAAAGAATTCACATAAAACTGTGATTGCCTTATTCTAAAACAGAAATCATGGAACAAAACGCAACCTTAATCTCCACCTAAATGCTCCCCAACTGTTGAACTGAATTATATAAAACAAAAAAAAAAAGGGATAGAAAATTATGTTGTATTACGCTATGTTCTTTTCTTCTTTTTTAACTTTTTAGATCTAATAGGTTAACTTTTTAGGTCAAATTAGGCTCCTGAAATGTTGGATTAGTTTTGTATGTGGTGTCTCCCCAACAAGTGGTATCAGAGCCAATGATTCGTATGGGCCAAGCGATCACACTCAGTTGTAGTTCCCACATTACCTCCTCTGGAGAGTTGGTGTTGCCGCAGTGGTGGACTCGCATGGATTCGGCATCCTTTTCCATTTTCGAGTTGGCTCCTGATTGGAGTGTGATGTTTAGATGTGCCGACTATTAGAAACTTTGATTTAATATTCTGAGCCCTCGCTCAAAGAAAAGAGAAGGATAAATCCTCCAACAACTGAAATCTGCAAAATGCCCAACTTATAAGCCAGTAGGACTGCTTACAATGCAGCAAGATATTTTCCTTAGATGACATGAGAAGGACCTCTCTCCACCTTGCACCACAACCATTGAATCGAAACTTAAGAATTGAAGAGCATTGCCTCCGAAGCATGTTATAATTTGTCGTCCTCAATTTGAATTTGGTTTATGAAACATATTCACACCATCCATTAAGGCAAAGTCTTCTGGTCAAACCATTTATATACAATCACAAATGATTCAGTTCATTCCTTTTGGGACAATCAATGCTGATATGACTGATTTAACTAGAAGTGCAGTAGCAACCAACTAGGACACATGAATTGATCACCAGTAATATCTCCTCCTGCATTTTTCTCGAAGCAGTCCACAATGAGCAGCGGCGAACAAGAGAAAGCCAATGCAGTGACCGAGTAGAAAAGAAAAGAGAGAGCTATTTTAAGAGTTTGTCCAATGTCAATGTTAGTTAACAAAATAGCAACAAGAAGCAACACTTCGAAGTCCCAAAATTAATGCTAATGTTAGTTAACAAAATCTCACCACATTCGGAAACACCATAAAGATATCTTCCATCTGTTTTCTCTTGCAATTTAACTCTTTCTTTGGGAAACACCATAATTGAGTTTGTCTTTCTTCTTCAAAAATATCACAATGCAGCACTCTGAAGCACTTCTCATTATACTGCAAATAAAAACATGATAAAGAAATGGACTTATCAAAAACTTATTGAAGCATAGCCAAAACATCCTATATCATTTTCATGGAAATAACACGAGCAAAGTTCATAAGTTTAATAATCATGGATATGAAAGGGGAACAAATTGGATCTCAACAGTTTAAAACCAATGCTACATAAAATTAATAGTAGAAGAAATAGATCCGTCGATACATGAACTAAAAGGATAATGACTTGATACTTCAAGGATTTTGGCTAAATATTATGTCAAAACCTGGACCCCACTTTACGACGTTGGATCAGTACTATTCTACTCATCCTACAATCATACTGAACTCAATTAAATACCAATCTCAATGTGTTGGAAACAATAACAGACAATACCCGTATGTTAAAAGGTTATTTGTTACATGAATTCTCTTTGATCACTAATACCCACTTACTCATGTTGGGGGGCATATCAGCTATGGAAACTCAACTAGTAGGATTTCAAAGTCAACGGATAACAGGTCCGAAATATGAAAAACACCTAGGAAATAGGACATGCCAAAGCCCAGTGGTAAAAAGGACCCCATTATCTGATTGGTGAATTTCAAAATGTATTGCAAAAGAGAGAACAGGGGACAGACTTACACTGCCATAAGAAACACCGCTACAATAGAACTGATATTCGCATAAACTTAACCCATTCTTTGCTACAATAAACGGCCAGCATTCTTTGCTACAAGAAAGAGAACATCAGAGATTAACTTGTGAATTTCAAAATACCTTAAACCATGCTTCTTCTACACTGTCGTGAGGGAATGCTATGGCCGAATCAGCATATCACTTTTCAATAACCACACAGATCAGAAACCAGGTACTAGGAACACAAATCAATAGCTAAGTACTAGTAACAGAGCAAAAGCCTAAACTAGATAAACTAAAAGAATTCACATAAAACTGTGATTGCCTTATTCTAAACCAGAAATCATAGAACAAAACGCAACCTTAATCTCCACCTAAATGCTCCCCAACTGTTAAACTGAATTATAATAAAATAAAAAATAAAATGGATAGCAAATTTTGTTGTATTACGCTCTGTTCTTTTTTTATTTTTTATTTTATTGATGCTTTGTACTCTTTTTCGAACATCCAGAAACCTATATACACACACAAAACCAAAATAATAAGTTAAAAAAAGAAAAAGAAATAAAGGAACATAAAAACTAAATATTATAGAAAATAGCGTAGTATATAACAAAGCTGTATTATTCACAAATTAAAGTAGTAGAAAGAAACCAAAATCAATATTCACACACTTTTTTTTTTTTTTGGAATTACCGATGATGCATTCCAGGAAGAGATCAAATAATCAGCATTCAAAGGAATCTGTAAATTTAATTCTCTTGAGATGTGGTTCATCTGTATCAAAGTCGACGGTTCCGCGTGCAATGGATTCAGGCTGCTCGGCTGCGGATTCCTCAAGTACATGATGTTGACCAGCATTGATGAAATTGAATCTGAATTCCTCTATTTCTTTTTGATATACCAGGTGGATCCCACACTTCTTCACTTCACACTTGGATTCAGTCGTAACCCGTCTTCTGTTTCCCTCCAATGAACTTTCTACGAATGAAAAGTCAAATGACGCATCCTCTGCATTGAGCCATTTATTTTTAGGTCAAATGACGCCTAATAGGTTAACTTTTTAGGTGAAATTAGGCTCCTGAAGTGTTGAGTTAGTTTTGCATGTGGTATCTTCCCAACAAATGGTATTAGAGCCAATGATTCGTGTGGGCCAAGCAATCACACTCAATTGTAGTTCCCATATTGTCTCCCATGGAGAGTTGTTGTTGCCGTAGTTTGGTGGAGCATTGGTGGACTCGTATGGTTTCGGCTTCCTTTTCTATGTTCGAGTTGGCTCCTATTTGGAGTGTGATGTTTGGATTTGCCGACTATTAGAAACTTTAATTTAAGGGGAGCTCCGTGAGTACACACATGAGGAGGAGATTGTTGAGAAAATTACATACGTGTGTTGTCCTACATAAAACGTGAATAAGAATGTAAAGTGATTTATATAATGGAAGGGCTCAAGACCTATGTCTCTCCAACATAAATTGTGCTGGGTTTTTTTCACCCACCTGCGTATAAAACTTCCAAACTTATTTATTTATTTATTTATTTGAGAAAATAGCCAGCTGTTGAAGTGAGAATTTGTTTAATACCAATTATGTTTCTTTATGTTGGAACCATACTCCTAAAGTAGCTTTTCGACTTGAGGATGCCTAAGAAAATATCAATATGTATAATAGACTAATATATATGGTGTCTATAATATTTGCATTGTGGCCTTGTAAAAGGTCTCAGGCTCAGGGAAGTAGAGACCAAACAAAACATGGGCACAACCACCAAAAGAGAAGAAAACATCAGAACAAAGCAGAGAAGAGGGAGAAATTCTAAAGCCAACCCAGCAAATAACATGCTATCCAGTTTTAAAGCAACAACATTCCGAGCCTTCGCTCAAAGAAAAGAGAAGGATAAATCCTCCAACAACTGAAATCTGCAAATTTCCCAACTTAGAAGCCAATGGGACCGCCCACAATGCAGCAAGATCTTTTCCTTCGATGACATGAGAAGGACCTCCCTCCACCTTGCACCACAACCATTGAATCAAACCTTCAGAATTGAAGAGCATTGCCTCCGAAGCACGTTATAATTTGTCGTCCTCAATTTGAATTTGGTTTATGAAACATATTCACACCATCCAGGGAAAGTCTTCTAGTCAAACCATTTATATACAATCACAAATGATTCAGACAATCAATGCTGATATGATTGATTTAACTAGAAGTGGAGCAGCAACCAACTAGGACACATGAATAGACACCAGTAACATCTCCACCTGCATTTTTCTCAAAGCAGTCCACAATAAGCAGCGGCGAACAAGAGATATTTATGGCTGTAAAGAAATGCAAAGAATTTCAAAATGTATTGCAAGAGAGAATAGGGGACAGACATATACTGACATAAGAAACACCGCTACAAAGAACTGATATTTTCATAAACTTAACCCTTCAGATCTGCAGCAATGCCGGAACAGCCTTCGACATGCAAGAAACGGCCAGCATTCTTTCCTACAAGAAAGAGAACATCAGAGATTAACAACTTGTGAATTTCAAAATACTTTAAGCCCTGTTTCTTCTACATTGTCATGAGGGAATACTATGGCCGAATCCGCATATCACTTTTCACTAACCACACAGATCAGAAACAAGGTACTAGGAACACAAATCAATAGCTAAGTACTAGTAACAAAGCAAAAGCCTAAACTAGATAAACTAAAAGAATTCACATAAAACTGTGATTGCCTTATTCTAAAACAGAAATCATGGAACAAAACGCAACCTTAATCTCCACCTAAATGCTCCCCAACTGTTGAACTGAATTATAAAAAAAAAAAAAAAGGGATAGAAAACTTTGTTGTATTGCGCTCTGTTATTTTCTTTTCTTTTCTGTTTTTTTATTGATGATTTTTTCTCTTTTTCGAACATCCAGAAACTTAAAAGAAGGATATACACACACAAAAGCAAAATAATAAGTTAAAAAAAGTAGTAGAAAGAAGCTGTATTATTCACAAATTAAAGTAGTAGAAAGAAACCAAAATCCATATTCATACACTTTTATTTTATATTTTGAATTACCGATTATGCATTCCAGGAAGAGATCAAATTATCAGCAGTCAAAGGAATCTGTAAATTTAATTCTCTTGAGACGTGGTTCATCTGTATCAAAGTTGATGGTTCCGCGTGCAATGGATTCAGGCTGCTCGGCTGCGGATTCCTCAAGTACATGATGTTGGCCAGCATTGATGAAATTGAATCTGAATTCCTCTATTTCTTTTTTATTTACCAGGTGGATCCCACACTTCTTCACTTCACACTTGGATTCAGTCGTAACCCGTCTTCTGTTTCCCTCCAATGAACTTTCTACGAATGAAAAGTCAAATGACGCCTCCTCTGCATTGAGCCATTTATAATGGTGATGAGACACATACCACATCCACACATTACTTGAATGTGTCCTTGGCATTGCAAAAAACCAATGTCTGCCATGGTTAAACCCCAAAGTGAATTCCCTGTTTTCCCCCTGGTTCGCTTTAAGATTGACTTCACAACTTAAATCCAGGTAAACGGCCTCAGAATAAGAGTAACCAACAACACAAAATACAATACCCAAGAAATGCTGCCTTTCCAGTGGAATCTTTATATCAATAAAAGATCCCTCTGATTGATACTCGAACCACTTTGGAATTTCATAACCCGGAAAACACGCGCCAATCGAATAAGGCAACCTCTGTACCATAGAAGAGAGTCAAGTTCTATATCAATTGAAAAAATATTTTATTTTTTTTTTTTTTTTTTTTTTTTTTTTTTTTTTAACATAAAACAGAGAAATCGTACCTCATGGTCTTTACATATAAGTCGTGTAGCAGTCCGAAAAACTCTAAGCTGGAATTCCATTAAAATACTTTGACGCTGCGTCTGATCCAATTTCAAGCAATCACAAAACATTGACTTTTCAGTGATCTGGCTCTGGAATTCCCAAAACTCTTGTGTGAGTGCTCTCTTTGAATTTGACACCACCTCCAACGACGTGCACCCGCTTGCACCAAGAAATTGCAAACCCAATGGAAGCTCTGGTATAGAACGAAGATTCTTGCAATTTTCTACGTAAATCCTTCTCAGCTTAGAAAGCCCTCTGACGCTTGCAGGGATTGCTATTATATTAGACCGACTGAGATCAAGATATTCCAGATTCCAACGGTGGTAATCACTTGAGATTGGAAAGATTCCAGATTCCAGATCAAATTTTGGACAATCAGAAAGATCGAGATGCAAAAGCTTAGCCATATCACATATTGGTAGCTCTCTAATCCCCGTTCCGCTTAAAGTTTTCACAGGCTCTACGATTTCCGGAAGGCTCTTCAAATTCGCGCAACTATTAAGATTAAGATCACAAAGAGACCTCATCTTAAAAATGTTGGATGGTAAACTCGTAAGACTTTTACAATCGGACATTGTAAAATGTTGGAGATCAAATCGACCCTCAATTGATGATGAGGGCACATGCTTTATTGGTGTCCCTCCAATATTCAACGTCATTATATTCAATGGAAGCTCTGGAAACATCTCAAGAATTGAGCACCCGCCTAATACAAGTTCCTTTAGAGAATCCAGCTTATTCATGCAACTTGGAAGACTTGCAAGTCTTGTACAGTTTCTGAGAGACAATTTCTGAAGATTATTGAGAGAGACAATTGATGAAGGCAAAGACGTTATTCCAGTTGAACTTAAATTTAAAGACACAAGGCTCCGGGTTATAGTCATTGGAAGAGTGTTGAGAGTAAGAGTTGTCATAGAGGCAGCATCAAATATTCTATCTGGCACACTCTGAAGCTGGTAGCTGTAGCTTAGATCCACTTCAATAAGCTTGTTAAGATTTTGCTGAGTATGCAAAGGAACTTGAAACAAATTTGTGCAATACTCGAGATTTATTCTCTCAAGATTTGGAGAACTTGACAGATCCGGAATTTGAGTTAGGTGAATGGAGTGTCTTAAATCAATGTCTCTTAACTTGTTAAGCTCCTGTAACATAAAGAAATGAGAATAATAACTAAACTATGCATTATAAATTAGGTTTAGTACCACAGTGTAGGATATATACCTGGACTCCAACCCGAAGTTGCTCAAGGTGACTGTAGGGCATCTTTAGGTCAACAAGATTCTTTGGCTTAAAGTTTGATGGTAAATATTTTAGAGGATATTCATGCCATTCGAGATACCTAAGTGAACGAGGAAGATAACGGAGATTCCTGAAGGTACAATTTAACTTTCTTGCCATAAGAGGAATCGTAAATTTTGAGCAATCTCAAATTAGACATCTTTCTGAAAACTGTAGGTTCCAAGTGTATCTCTTCATCAATTTCGGACAAGTCTAGGAATATTCCTTCAACTTTTTCAGTCCCCTGTCATTTTAGTATCAACATATATAGCATATGAGAAGTTACTTCAGTACTGTTACGTGTACACACACATTGAATGTACTTTTATATCATGAAAAAATTAAAAGCAATCTAAGTTAGTATTGTATGCATGAAGACATCTCAATAAACAATGGATTGGTGTAATCGCTTAATCTACAAGTTATTAATGCAATTCTAAAGTGAATTATTGAAATACACTAGCACTTACTTCATTGTTCTCTAGGACTTCACAAGCTTCTTCAGGAATCCATAGCCTACTGCGCTCTCCAAGTTTTGTAGATTCTTGACGAACAATATTTTTACCCATTTCTTGCAATAGATCATGCATTTGAAGAGTATTATTATAAGGATTAATAGTTATGAGGGACTTATCAATGAGAATATCCACTCCTATACTTGCAAAAAAACCACAACCATTAAGTATGTTTTCCACAAAATGTCTACACATCCTTTTGAAGAAACACGCAATATCTAGAAAGATATCTTTCTCTTCTTTCTCCAGCCCATCATAGCTTATTTTCAACACGTTGTGAATATCATTATGAGGAACAATTTTTAGTTTCTCCAACGCCATTTCCCAACTTTTTTGGCTCTGAATACGGAGGGAACGAAAGTGTTTACCCAAAACTGTAATTGCCAATGGAAGGCCACCAGCATGCTCAACCACATTTTTTGATAGCTCCATGTAATCCATATCAAGAGCATTTCCTCACATCATTTTTCTCAAAGGAAATATAACTGTAAATAACCGTTTTACAGGCTTCAGCAAGTAATTAGTACAAATTACTTACCTAACCAAGTGCCTCGCCTACCCGGACCGAGTTTCGGGTTCTGTCCCCGAGGATGCACTCTCCGCATCCTATCTAGGCTTACAGAGATAGACTCTATTACCAGTTCACAAGATCTCTTTGCTTAAGAAATCATTCATTAACATTTTGAAATCGTTAATACGACCCCACGAACTACTCAAGCCGCGAGGCCCATGACTGGACAAGCCATGAGGTTCCATGACTAAACATGTAATGACTGAGAAAATTCCAGACTTTAAATAATACAATTTATTTATTTAAGCCAAGGATTTTCCTAGAAAATATTATGTGACTGAAGGATTTATGGAATCAATATATGTATTCCTAAATTCTGTAGCAGATTTCATGTTAAGTTCATGTTTTCGATCAAGTAAATTCGATCGATAAATTCTTGCCATACTTTAAGGCAGAATAATTTTCAGTACAAGTATAGTTTGAGAATCTTAATTTCAAGAATCTCCAAACACAGCATGATGTTAGCAGCGTAAAAAAAACGCACTGACATTTTTAAAGAAGAGAAAATCCTTAATTGCCAGACAGCTAGGTTAAAGTCACAAGATAGATACCTATAGTAGAAGGGTACAATGTGAGCTAAGGAGTTGACACCGTCAGAAATAATGTCACTCCCGGGATATAATGCAGAAAAGTTAAATTTAGAATTTATTCAGTCTAGAATTAATTTCAAGACTTGAAACAGTTTAAGATATTACGCGAGTAAGAATTTAACGTGATATCAAAGCAGACGAGGATTTAAAAGTTGAACTGAAAATAAGTAGTAGAAAAAAAAA